CTAAGATTGGAATCAAGACAAAGCTCCCGCATCACTTTTTTCCAACATTGTACTGAAGCCCTAGTCAGCACAATAAGGCAAGGGAAAGAAACAGAAGGCACATGGATAGTAAATTGATACTACATTGGGGAGTGGGGGGGAAGGAGAAATCCCTCAACAATGGAGGATAAAATAGATTGACTACAAAAGCAAAATTTTTCACTATGAAAAGAACTTTCCTGGCTGAGCCTAGAGTCTCTATTATATCTTATACTTTTCATTCTGGTTTGATGTTAGGATACTCATTATAATTGTAATCTTTGAGTAATGAATATTAATAAATGGGTTAAAATAGCACAAAATTTAACTAGAAAAGATAAATGCATAAATATGTGCATACAGATAGTTATCTATAAATGTAAAAACAAGGCTTATAAGAGTAGTAAAAGAGGGGGTTTAAAGTAGTTCCACGTGAAAAAAATCAAAAATTGAAATGAGATTCATTTATGGGAAATGTTCTAAAAGTTTTAGAAAATCCTAGTGAAATTTAACAAAAATTAGCAAGAAAATAAGGCATCAAACCAAGCCAGAAGGCAAAACAGAAATAATTTCAAAGGAGTTTTCATGAGACAAAATGTCTTAGAGAACAACCACATTAAATTTGGCAGTGTACCTGTTATCTAAAGCATACTTTTGCATGCAGAATCAAACTTGATTAATATTTATGAAATATGTAAAGAGCTTAATTTCTCTTAAAAGAATAAACATGAAGGCTGAGAAGCGAGTCAAAATTAAATATACTGCTGACATTTTTACAATTGAAATTAGAGAATCAAATACAATTGCCAGAGTACAATTTTCGATTTGAATTATCTCAGGGGAAAAATATTACATATTACTTCTAGGAAGCAACATAGTGCTGTACCATACTGACTATTGTTTATTAAATTATATGAGATTTTAGAGATGTGATTTTACTCTAAAATTTTATGTAACTTGTAATTTTAAATTTACTTCATCATAGTATAAACTGTTTGCTGTTTGATTTCCACTGATTGCCACAGAGGAAGTAATTTGTAGTGTTTCTCTTACTTTTAGATAACTTACATTTAAACACAACCTATGGCTTCCCTGCCTATAACAACGTAATGTTCTTGCTTTCAACAAACAAGTATCAAGTACCTAAGTGCCTCCCAAAACATTCTGAATACACTGAGGTTGGGTGGGGAGATAAACATACAAATTTGTATAGTTTAGCCTAATAAATGCCAAATAACTTATTTTAAAAAAAGATTTATTGATACAAGAACCGGGGTACAGGCCAGATACGCGGGAGGGTGAGAGGTTTCACCAGAGAATGAGTGGGGAACTCAACAGGCAGACTGATGAAATACACTGCTGAGGGGAGCAGCGGGCACGATGGGAGAGGTCTGCCGCACCATGTGGGACCCTCGCCAGCCGGCTGGGATTCGAACCTGCGCTGCAGAGGCTGCGGACAGCCACCAGGAGAGGCCCAATGCCAAATAACTTTTAATTTTACTCATGTTTAAGAACTATCTTCATCAGACCAAATCTAATTATTATGGAATCACTTCAGGATATTTTAAATAATCACAACATTATTTACAGATATTTAGAGGGAAACAAATTTTATATTACATAATTATTATGCTCCTAGGACATCTGCTGCTAAGAGAGGTCAGCAACAAAGTGATAGCATTCTAAGACTTCTGCAACATGCCTAAAGAAATTCAGCTTTAAAATTCCATTAAGATCTGGAACAAGACAAGGATGTCCACTCTCACCACTGCTTTTCAATATAATACTGGAAGTCCTAGCCAGGGCAATAAGACAAGAGAAAGACATCCAAGGAATCCAAATAGGAAAAGAAGAAGTCAAACTATCACTATTTGCAGACGATATGATATTATACATAGAGAACCCCAAAAACTCCACAGAAAAGCTAATTCAACTCATCAATCAGTTCAGTAAAGTGGCAGGATACAAAATCAACACGCAAAAGTCAGTAGCCTTCCTATACACAAACAATAAATCTGAAGAAGAAGAAATCAAAAAAAACATCCCTTTCGTTATTGAAACAAAAAAAATCAAATATTTGGGAATAAACCTAACAAAAGAGGTAAAGGACCTATACAAAGAAAACTATAAAACACTGTTAAAAGAAATAGAAGAAGACACAAAGAAATGGAGAGATATCCCCTGCTCATGGATTGGAAGAATAAACATTATTAAAATGGCCATCCTTCCAAAAGCAATATACAGATTCAATGCTATTCCAATCAAAATTTCAATGTCATTCTTCAAAGAAATAGAACAATTATTGATGAAATTCATATGGAATCACAAAAAACCCCGAATAGCCAAAGCTCTCCTGAAAAAAAAAGAAGGGAATGGAGGTATCACACTCCCAGACTTCAAACTATACTACAAAGCCATAATCATCAAAACTGCATGGTATTGGAACAAGAACAGACATACAGACCAATGGAATCAAACAGAAAATCCAGAAATAAACCCACAGATTTATGGTCAACTAATCTTTGACAAAGGAGCAAAGACTATGCATTGGAGCAAAGAAAGTTTGTTCAATAAATGGTGCTGGGAAAACTGGGTTGCTACATGCAAAAGAATGAAGCTTGACCACTACCTCACACCATACACAAAAATCAACTCAAAATGGATTAAAGAATTAGACATAAGACATGAAACCATAAAATATATAGAAGGAAATATAGGCGAAACACTACGTGATTTGCACATCAAAGACATCTTTACAGACACATCACCCAAAGCAGTGATAGTGAAGGCAAAGATAAACAGCTGGGACTACATCAAATTAAAGAGCTTCTGCACAGCAAAAGAGACAATAACAAAAACAAAGAGAAACCCCACCAACTGGGAGAACATTTTTGCACCCAACACTAATGATAAAGGACTGATCACAAAAATCTGCAAAGAGCTGATGAGACTCAACAACAACAAAGAAAATAATCCAGTCAAAAAATGGGCAGAAGAGCTAAAAAGAAACTTCTCTGAAGAGGAAATGCAAATGGCCAACAGGCATATGAAAAAATGTTCAACATCACTTGTCATCAGGGAAATGCAAATCAAAACTACCATGAGATACCATCTTACACCAGTGAGAATGGCACATATTAAAAAAACTAGCAACAACAAATGTTGGCGAGGGTGTGGAGAAAAAGGAACTCTTCTGCACTGTTGGTGGGAGTGCAAACTGGTCCAACCACTGTGGAAAGCTGTGTGGAGATTTCTGGACCTACTAAACATAGAGCTTCCATATGATCCAGCAATTCCACTCCTAGGTATTTACCCAAAGGACACAGAAACATCAATTCCAAAGAACACCTGCACCCCTATGTTTATAGCAGCACTGTTTACAATAGCTAAGCTTTGGAAACAACCCAAATGCCCAAAAATAGATGACTGGATCAAGAAGATGTGGTACATATATACCATGGAATATTACTCAGCATTCAAAAAAGATAAACACATGCAATTTGCAGCAACATGGATGGCGCTGGAAGGGATCATGCTCAGCGAAATAAGCCAAAAAGAAAAAGAAAAATACCGGATGGTCTCACTCATAGCAGGAATCTAGAAAACTTAAATAAGGGACCAGGAAAATGAATAACTATAAGAAAGTGAAAATCAAAATCAACAAAAAACTATGAACCAGAGACACTTTTAGGGGGGCAGGGGCGGGAGGGGAGGGATTGGGGTCAGAATGGGGGCGCTGCAATTGTATGGGGAATATAACAATAAAATTTATTATCTAATAAAAAAAATAAATAAATAAAAAGAAATTCAGCTTTAAAATGAGACAGTTTATAAAAATATCTATGTGTATATGATTTTTAGAGAAACTGGCTAAATAGGTCATATTATCTTACAGGGGAAACATTGCTCTTCTGCCAAAGAACTTTTTAAATCAAGCCAAAGATTTGGGTCTCCCTGGTGGCACAAAGGGTTGAGATGCAACCCATGACGCTGTCCATAGCCTCTACAGCACGAGTTCGATCCCCGGCCAGGGAGATACCCACATGGCACAGCAGACAGCTCCTGTCTTGCCCACTGCTCCCTTCAGCAGTGTATTTCAGTCAGTCTGCCTGCTCTGTTCCCTACTCTGTCTCTGGTGAATCTTCTCACCCCCCACACCTCTGGCCTGTACCCTAGTTCTTGTATGCATAAATAAATCTTTAAAAAAAATAAGTCAAAGATTTAATCATATGAGTATTAGAAGGAAATTTCTTTTCTACAAGGCAAGTTCCAGTCTAGTCACTCATTTCTTATTGTATCCAATAACTACTTTATTACTTCCCTCTAATGGTCTTCAGCTTTAAATAGCTAGATTATGACATCTATAACTCTTTTCCTACTTTTATAAGCTGTTCTTATTTTTTCTGAGGATTTATAATCACAAAAATTTTTAGGTATTAATTTTTTTCTCAAAATGAAGTTTTCTTATACTGTGTTTCAAAGATAAAATCATAATTGCATTCCTGGGAATAAATAATAATTAAGGCTTTAAAATATATACAAATATGAGGTTATTTGGAGATATGTGCAGATAAATAGGGAGATTAAGGGAAAGGAATTCTTAGGAAAATTCTATATCCTACCTACAGTACACCTCTCAAGCTCCCTCTGCTGGCTGTTATATAAATAAAGTATAGGCGGGGAATCAGATCTATTTTTCTTTTGGGAAGCCATGGATGAATCAACAGTTTTTGTGGAAATTGAGATTCTCCTAAGTAAAGGCTAAGTCTAACCGATGACCACCTACTCTAATGAGGCTTTAGGACTTTCAGATTAGGAGAATGGGATGAGGAGGGTTGAAAATAAAGGAAGTCAATGTCAAGTTTCATTCAATATGTTAATCATTACATCAAATGCAGAAAACGCAAACCAAAAAATAGTAAGTCAACTTATACTAAACTTCACTACAACAAAAAGCTTATAGCACACGATGTAATCTATTTGTTTCAATATTAAGGTTTATTTTTTTATTCCAGAGTCAGGTTAAGTAACAATTTAAATAATTATCAGGATGCATAAATGAACATCCATTCAGATAAACATTACTGCTTAAAAGAGGCTAAGAAATATTTTGCATGTAATAAATATATTTTATGTTTAGGTTAACAGGCACCATCTTGAGAGCAGAAAAGTTTTTTTAAACCAATAAATAAATTACATTCAAGAAAACAAGGTGTTTATATCTGAAGTATGATATATCCTTAAATGTTTTTCTTCATATAGCACCCAGACTTCCAAACTATCTAAAAAGTATTTCCCAAAATATAACTCAAACCTTAAGTCATAAAAATAAAGGCCAAGAAAAAAATCAAGACAAAATTTACAGTTTATATTCTTAATTCCCCATTCAATAAAATATCAATTGCCAATTTACTAAAAGTAAATGAACTGTATATAAGCAATCTGTTAGTACTGAAAATCTGAAATATATATTTTTAAAAGTCACTCTTTCTGAAAGTATTTAAAATATTGCATCTCTGGTGGCAAACCTGAAAATTATCAAGCATTTTATTTCCCTAGTTTTCATACTTCCACTACCATCCTTCCCCCTTTATTCTTTAACAGTCATCCAGCACAGCACTTTTTTTGTTGTTTTTTTGGGTAAATACACTTACTTATGTCCCAAACACAAAACACTGACAATATTCCTTAGTAAACAAGGAAATCTCATAACAGTTCAAGCCTACACCTTTGCTCCCAAAGTGTGGCAGAGGCTAAATGACAGGGAAAAAAATCAATGGCCCTTATTGATGTGGTCAGAATGCTCCTGAGAGTCCATAACTATTTGAAAATTTGCTGATGTAATCCTGAAGAAAGTGTCAACACATTTTGTAGACAAGTATCAGAGAATAAGTCTTTGATTGATAATTTTTCTATTTATTTCTGCCAAGGCGACTGAAAACACGAAAGCCTTTTCATCAGAGAGGTTAGCATAGATGTCAATTTCCTTTTCCTGTTTTTCTGTTAAAAGAAAAAAGGGAAAGTTTAATACAAAAGCAGTTGATGCAGTATTTTTAAATACAGCTTTCAAGTACTTCTTTAAATGACAGTAAATATACAAAATACTACAATGTATATAGTATTATAAAATACTATGCTGCTGAACTGAAAAAAGATGTTTAAATTATATAAGGAATTATTGAAATGCCATGAACTAAATTAAATTCTAAGACTAAATGGAGTCTATATATATTTCTATGCACAAAATCTATTATCTCTATCATTTCTGTAAGAATCTTAAATATTTCATTCCCTTCATTACTATGAGCTCATTGTCTCAATCAAAATTCATCTTGTCACCCTAAAGATGGTCCCTTCTGAACATCAACGGTATTGTTCTGAATACGTGAACTTCTGCACCTTGGCCCTCCTATTAAATAATAACCAACATTTATTTCTCTCTCTCCTCTCCTATTACAAATATAATCCAAGTTGATGACAGAAAATTTGAAAAATACAGAAAAACAAAAAAGAAGACAAAATCACCCATCAGATCATGTGTCTGCTAAAATGACAATTAACAACGCTGTATATACATTCTTTGAAATTCTCTTTTCAGGCTCTAAAAAGATTCTACTTTAGTCCCCTTTTTTGGGGGTTTTGAATTATTAATCAAAGTTAAATATGCAATGTGAAATCATTTTTACAAAACTTGTTCCAAAAAAGAGAACTCCCCCCCCCATTTCCCAAATGCAACTTTTTTCAGTTGCTACTTTGTTTTAACCTCTCTAAACAACATTTTGGTTTTTGACATAACTGATTTTCCCACCACTGAAAATTAGGATTTTGTTTTCCATCTCATCACCACTACATTCTTCCCATCCCATTCTATCACAATTTCTATGAGATCAACTTTCAATGTTTAGTCTATGTAAATAACTTCATTTTCCGTGCATACTGTTTTTCCTGGAGAGTCTTTTTCCAACTGCCAAGTTTTCATGAATAACTGAGCCCAAACTCTTCTAATCGCATCTTTCAGAATGTTTATATGTATTAAGTATATTCTATCAATTTTATCTTTTTTTTTTTTTTTAAAGATTTATGTATTTATACAAGCACTGGGTACAGTCAGAAGCGCGGGAGGGTGAGAGGATCCACTAGACAGACCGGGGAACAGAACAGGCAGGCTGACAAAATACACTGCTGAGGGGAGCAGTGGGCGCAGCAGGAGAGGTCTGTGCACAACGTGGGACCCTCGCTGGTGGCCGGGGATCGAACTGACGCTGTGGAGGCTTCAGAGCCCAGCGCTCAACTGCTGCGCCACCAGGGGAGGCCCCACTTTCATCTTCTTAAAGAAACCTCTCTAAGTCTTCTGATCTGCACCAATCTAAATGGCTGCCTTCTGGTCTATTGCAATTATCACCTCGCGATCTCTTCAAAATCATGCTGGAGAGTTTCTTCATCTCTCTTGGGTTGGACCCTGTGTTCCAGATTCCAGGTTACTTTCTTAGCTTACTTCTTTATTTTGATGGCACTGTATTGTAGTAGGTGACTAAGAAAGGGAGTACAGATAGCAAATTTTGAGACTCTGAATGATGGAAAATGTCTTTAATGTACCTTCACACTAATTCAGAATTTGGTTGACTTATGACTTGTATATTTCCTCTAAGTATTGTGAAGACATATAATTGGTCTTCCAATAACTGCTGCCACTGTTAAGAAATACAGTATTTTTTCCAGTTATTTTTTAAATTATTGCTAAATTTACTGTGAAATGCACAAATCTCAAGTGTACAACTGGATGAATTCTGACAAACATATACATCCATTAACCCACACCACAATCAAGATTTAGCAAATTTCTCATGCTTCTTTCTAGTTAATCCCTCTCCACTAGCAACCACTGCACTGTTTTATCAACCATAGATTCACTTTGCTTGTTTTTGAACTTCAAACAAATAGCACCATATAGCATGCCCTGTTTTGGGTCTGACTTCTTCTGTTCAACATGTTTTTGAAATTCACTGATGCTATTCATGTATGTGTTGTTTGTTCTGTGCTGGGAGGTATTCCATTTTACCAATTCTAACACCATTTTGATTTTTTTCTCTAAAAACTTAAGGAATCTTTCCTTTAACCAAATTGATATGACTTATGATGATATGGTTTGGCATAACTTCTACTTTTAACCATCCACTGGGTGGGCAATTTGGTGGGCCATTTCAATATGGAAATTCAATGTCCTTCAGAATTTCTTGAATTATTTCATTGATGACTTCCTTCTTCATCTTCAATGTTCTTTTTCTGTAACATCAATTATTTATAGATATTGACCTCAGGCTTGTCGTCTAAATTTACCTTTCCTATTCTCTCACCTCTTTTCCTATTGCTCTACATTCCAATACATTTCTTCAACTTTGTCTATTAACCTTGCGTTAAATTTTTTCATTTCTGCAAATCACTCTCTCTCTAGCTCTCTCTCTCACACACAAATGTGTATGAGATACGTGAAATTCATATTTTAAGGTCCATTTCCCAGGTGCTTTTTTGACATCTGCAATTTCCCTTTAAATTTTATCTTTTTCTTGGCTGTTTCTTTTTGTTAAGAATATTAACAACCAGGCCTCCCCTTGTGGCGCAGTGGTTGAGCGCTGGGAGGCAAAGCTACCTGCAGCCTCTGCAGCACTGGTTCAATCCCCGTCCACCGGCAAGGGTCCCACATGGCGCGCAGACCTTTCCTGCAGAGCCCGCTGCTCCCCACACAGTGTATTTTGTCAGTCTGCCTGTTCTGTTCCCCACTCTGGCTCTGTTGAATTCTCACACCCTCTCGCACTTCTGACTATACACAGTGCTTGTATAAATAAAATAAATCTTAAAAAAAAATATTAACAACAGTTTTAATTTTTTCTTCTCCCTGAAAAAACTTTTTACCCAAGTTATTTTTTTTTCTGTTAAGTTTTAGCCTTCCATACTAGATGCTTTCTTCCATATATCTGGGTTGTTTGCTCTTATTTAGGAATGGGCCCAAAAAAAAAAAAAGGCAGCTCATATACATATGTTGAGCTTAACTGTGGTCATCACTTTATAATGATCTGACTGGGGCCATTCGTGAAATCCCCAACGAAAGTGTGTTTATTCCAGGCCTTTTTGCTTCAGCTCCTCAGATTCCCTAGAGAAGATACTCCTAATCTCTTACCTGTAAGATACAAGTCTGACTAGAGAACACAATGTTTACTATCTCTAATTTTCACCTAATCTTCCTGATCTTAACATAGTACCCTTGCCCTCAATGAATCCTGGTGTGCCCTAACACAGACATTGTTTTTAAAGGATAAAGCTGGGGAATAGGAAAACAGCTAAGCAGCTCTAGTGTGGCATTATGCAACAGAATTTCAAGCAATCTTCCTGTTTTTAGCCTCCCCTTCAGCTCCATACTGCCAAACATAACTGAAGCACAAATTCCTGACTTAAAGGCAGTTGCGTAATAAAAATCAGTTTCTTTTTTGGCTTTCTCAAAGGAGCTTACAATTTAGGTTTCATGGGTCTGCTAAAGCAGTTACCACTTTCCAGAATTTTGCATTCTCCAATTCCTTATCCTAAGAGGGTTTTGCCTCTTTCTTAACAAACAAAAACCAAAAACCAGAACACTGTCATTTTATTAGGATTTTGGGAGGATGCAGAGCTAATGTGTTTACTCAGTCCACCACCTTTAATTTGAAGTCTACATTTATTCATATATACATTAATAAGATACAGACTTGTCCGGTATATTTAATCATTCAAAATGTCACTACTACATAACTAATATACACAATAGTCATTCCCCCACATGAAAAATGAAGGCTTATCTTAAACTGGATAAAACAATGTTTTGTATTTATAATTTTATAAATACAGACATGCTGTTATCTAGATAACAAGCTTTCTTTTTCCACTTTTCTATTGCTTTTCAAAATTCAGAAAATAGGTCAATCAAAATGTGTTTTAGACACACTCGTGTTTTCTTTATTAAAATAAAATCAAAGCTTGCTTCAAATTTTTCAGTTGCCCTAATGAGCAAGGAATCAATAAAAACTGAGTTAAAACTAAATGGCTATTTAGCACTAAGCAATACATCAGAGTCTACTTTAAAATATATAGATATTTCAAAAGTCTGTATTTCCTATCTGTGCTGTATTCAGGAAACATGGTCACAAAGGGTTGGCAGCCGAGGGGCCCAATCTGACCCACCACTAGTTTTTATAAAGTCTTACAGGAATATAGCCATGCTTATTCATTCACATATCATCTGTGGCTGCTTTCCAGCTACAATGACAGAGCATAGTAGCTGTGACATATAAGTTTATGGCTCACAAATTCTGAAATATTTACCATTTGGCTCTTTACAGAGTTTGCTGATCCCGATTCTAGTTTATGTAATAAAAATGTCTTTGAACATTTTCCAGTTTGTAGTAAATAAAATTAAATAAAAGCATATTTTACTCTAGAAATACCTTTCCAAAATTTTTCCTATAATAAACTGAAAATACTTGAAAAGTGTAGTCAAAGAAATGCTTCTTTTTTCAAGTCCTCAGAAAAGTTCAGACTTGCATATACTGCATCGTAGCACAACTAACTAAACTTCACGTCCCCCAAATAAAAAACTGCTTTCTCATCTCCCCTCCATTCTCTGAGCTATATTCCCTTTACTCCAACTGGAAAGAATGCTGGTTTCTGGGTCAAGCAGTATTTTCCTCTTTTCTTTTTTCTCTGTTGTCGTTTCTTTAACTAGTTTCCTTTCTGAAACAAGTCTTCAGCTTAAATTGTCTTATCTTATTGTTAAAGAAGCACATTCAAATTGAGAAAATAACTCAAAGCTATAAAGAATAGAATAAAAGAGGAAAAGGAGTAAAATTACCCAAGAAATTAGGAGTATCTATGTACAGTCAAATACTTTATTCCTCTAGCCACACAATATTAAGAAATTTTTAACCTTGGAAAAAGCCTATGACAATTATACCTGTGAAGTTATTTTCTCATTCAGGAGTAACTTTACACAAAACAGAGAGAAATAACAGGCAAAAAAATTCTGGTGCCTAAAATAAGACAAATTTACATTTTTGCTTGAATACATGAATACCTAAGAATGAATACCTGGAAAAGGAAACCATAACTCACAAATAAGAAATCATAAATGCATAAGAGTGAAGATGAACTTATTTTGATAGAGGTTTTTAAAGAATTACAAAGAGCAACTATTTCTTTTTATTATTAATTACTGTCTTAAATTCTCTATTTTAAAAAGGTATTCATTGGATATAGGGGCACATTATACTATTCTTTCCAATGTTGCATAATCACTGAAATTTTCCATGATACATCTTTTTAAAGATGTATGAATAGAAACTGAAATTTATTTAATGGTTAAAAACAAGTCATTGTTTTTATTCACTTATCAGAAGAAAGAAGGTCTGTGAAGAGAAATATAAACGTTTTAGACCTAGAGGAATTCACCTAACTATCCAAAAGTTGCCTCAGAGTAGGGAACACATAAAGAACTTAAAATTCATACTGAAGAACACTTTCAAAAATAAATTCTTTAAATTCATAGTATAACAGTTTGAAATAAGTTTTAACAAAATTCAGAATTCTTTTAAAAAATTTTAAAGTATAACCACTTTAACAGACTGTCATATACAAATTATTCTCTGAACTCTACTCCCATTTTTATAGCAAGAAGTTCTACAAATTTCAATCTTTAATTTTTTATTAGAAACATTTCTGTTTGTTTTTTAAAACAAGTATATACCTTAGAGGTAGCACTTCCAAACTACAGTGAGTTGTAATTTTAAGTCCAGGAGTTCAATGCCTACCAAATACTTCCTCATTACGATCTAATTAAGATCGTAGAAAAATATAATACTAGGGGAAAAAACTGCTTGGATTTATTCATACCTCTTTCTTCCTCATGTTTTTTGGCAGATGCACTTTTAGGTCTTCCTCTTCCTCGTCTGATATGATCTGAATGGCTGTTACTTCGAGACCTCTTTCTGTTTTCTAAATCTTTATTTACTGTAGAATTTATCTTCTCTCGCCTAACTCTCTCTGTTCGCCTCCTCTTGGCCTCATGCTTGTTTTCTGTATGGATGAATAAAAATGATGTTTTAGGGCTTAGCAAGAACTGTTTGCCCAAGTTCTTACTATCTTCCTTTTCCTCTCTAAATTGCACTAGAATTTGCTGCCTGGCATATTTTATAAGACTACAACCATAACATCTTATGCCCCCCACACCCACATGGGGAAAAAAAATTTACACATGAGGTAGGAGGAATTTTACAAGAAGACAAGTTTCCTTTAGCTGTCTTCTTTAATTTCAGACCCTGGAAGTTCACAGAACTTCACAACAACCTTTCTGCCTTTATTCCTCTTCTCTGCTTCCAAATAAAAAGTAGTGACATTAGAAAAGGAAAAAAAAAAATTCCCCTGCCCAAATTACAGATTAAAATAAGTCAAATATGCAGAAACAAAACTGATCTTAGTCATAACTTATTAAGGTAACCAATAAAAAGTAAGCAAAAAACATCCATACAAAATATAATAATACTAAGGAAGTAGTTTTCACTTTAGTCACAGATGAGTCATTTCTGACATTGTAAGAACATGCAGATTCCTATATGGAATAACAATAGAGGCACTTTACTCAATGTGGAAATTTAATGATGAAAGCCATCCCTTTCAGTTCAAAGAAATCAAAACATTGAATAAGACAAACAGCAAATTATGTAAAAAACAAAAACTTGCTTTAATACATACCTGAACTCAAAAATAAGAAAGAGAATTCCCTAATTGTCTAAAACACACTGGTAAAGGGGCAAAACACTAAGAAAATCACATCCCACTATTACTAAAGGAGACAAGTTAAAAGATTGTAAAATAAGGGTGCTTAACAGGCTATTATAAATTTTTTTTAAGTAAAATAATATTAGTTATTTCCAAATACCATTCTCATTGGAGTATTACTTAATTTCAGGTCTCAGGTGAAACATAAAGCAGAGGGAAGAACATTTAATTATTCCAGATGACAAGAAAGTTATCACAGACAACCTAGGTCTAGTTAAAAGTGACAAGGACTAACTTGAAAAGGCTCCCACAGATCATTATACAATATGGGCATCAATTAAAAATAACTAAGAGGTGGGTCTTCCCGGTGGTGCAGCGGTTGAGCGCTGGGTTGCGAAGTTGCCCGCAGCCTCTGCAGCGCCGGTTCAATCCCTAGCCACCGGGTGAGGGTCCCACATGGCATGCAGACCTCCCCTGCCACCCGCTGCTCCCCTCAGCTGTGTACTTCAGTCCTTGTGCCTGTTCTGTTCCCCGCTCTGGCTCTGGTGAATTCTCTCACCCTCCCGTACTTCTGACTGTACCCAGTGCTTGTATAAATAAATAAATAAATCTTAAAAAAAAAATAAATAACTAAGAGGTTGAAATGTCAAATATACTTAAAACCACAAGAACATGGCATTAAATACAAAAATTAGAGCAAAAACTACTTGACTATCATAGGAAGATTATAAAGAACTCACTATTTTGAAAACCGAAGAAAACAATAAAGCATGTACCCTGTCTTTTCTATTCAAGCTGTACCACTCACTGGTAACCAAAGGACAGGTGAGGAGTACCACCATTTTCAACTTGCAGTAATCTAGTTAAGTGCTGAAAAGCAATAGCTGTGAACAACACAAAAACAGATAAGCACACATCTTGAGACTCCTGATAGAGGAACACCTACTTATTATTAAGAGGTCTGGTTAAAAAATAATAATAATAATAATATCACCAAGCCTTTGTGTTTTTGGTTTTTTTTAAGATTTATTTATTTATTTATACAAGCACTGGGTACAGTCAGAAGCACAGGAGGGTGAGAGAATTCACCAGAGCCAGAGCAGGGAGCAGAACAGGCAGAAGGACCGAAGTACACTGCTGAGGGGAGCAGCGGGTAGCAGGAGAGGTCTGCGCGCCATGTGGGACCCTCCTTCGGTGGCCGGGGAACAGCCAGGGATTGAACCGGCGCTGCAGAGGCTGCGAGCAGCTTCGCAACCCAGTGCTAAACCACTGCACCACCGGGGAGGCCCTCACCAAGCCTTTGGATCCAAAGTCCAACTTACAGGAAAAACAGAAGTCATTCAAGAAATGTGTTAACCTACACCATGTGACACAAACAACACATTCAAAAGGACACATGATACAGATTCTTTCAATATATAATTTGCAAGGAGAAAAAAGACATAAAAAGAGCTAAACATGCAAAATGCATATCCAAAATATTCAGTTAAGTTCTATACATATGCAATATGTGTGGACCTTATCTGGAATCTGCTTTAAAAATTTTTAAGACCATTTACAAGAAACCTGAAATTTTCAACACCAGCTAGATATTCGATGTCACAGAAACGTTGATAAATTTTTATTGTACTTATGTTTTTTTTAAAGATTTATTTATTTATGCATACCAGAGCTAGGGTACAGGCCAGGGATGCGGGGGAGAGGGGGAGAGGATCCACCAGAGACAGAGTGGGGAACAGAACAGGCAGATTGACTGAAATACACTGCTGAGGGGAGCAGTGGGTGAGACAGGAGAGGTCTGCTGCGCCATGTGGGTTGCTCCCTGGACAGCCAGGGATTGAACTCATGCTGCAGAGGCTGCGGACTGCTTCACAGTGCGGTGCTTAATCCCTTGTGCCACCAGGGAGGCCCCGTGCTTATGTTTTTAAAAGTTTATCTGCATGTGCATAAAAGTAACATGCAAGGGAAGGGGTAGATGTTGGTGGGTGTGGATGGGGCAGTGTATGCTTAGAATTTCTTTAAAAAATAGTTTACAGGTTTAGTGACAGGTAAAGCTTTTTATAGTATGTATGCCTTTAACACTCAATTTAGGTTTGTTCCTCCCGCTACCCATCCACCTCTGCAAATTTCTCACTAGCCAAAGTTCTCAAAAAGGTGTTCTATAGGTTCTGTCTTTAATTTCTCACCTCCCATTCACTTATCAATCCACTCCAAAATAGTTCTCAACCCAATGAAATTGATCATGAAGACAAAAACTTATCAAATTCTATAAATACTTTTTAATCATCTTAATACTATCTCAAAAACTCAACAAAGATGATCACTCTTATTCTTTCTTCTTCCCTTGATTTTCAGACTCCAGGTTTCCCCCCATTCCTCGTTATTTTCCTTTGTTGTCTTTTCCTCCAGGTTCTTCCCCAATATCCAATACTAAAAGCAGCACCAAGGCTGTCCAGAGCCCTCCTCTTCCTTACACTCTGCCTAAGTAATTCATACACCCAAAACATTAAGCACTACTATTATAATGGCTCCACAATTTATACTTTCAGCTCTAACCTCTTCCCAAAGCTCCAGACTGCCTTTCAGCTTTACTTAAATGTCTCATAAGTATTTCAAATGTACCAAAAATAACTCAACTTTAACTCCTCCAAATCTGTTCCTCCTCCAACTTTCATCACTTTAGTAAATATCATCAAGCAGATACACAAGTCAAATAACTTGCAGTCATTTGTGACTCATCTTGCTTCTTATTCATCCCAAAGGTTCAGATACTCCTTGTAAAACATACCCACAATTTCTTCGTTTCTCCTACCTCTATGGTCATCACCCAAACCAAATATATTCCCTACAGTTGTTAATATTATCTTTTTTAAAAACTCTAATTATATAGTTCCCATCTAAAATCTTTCATCAACTTCTCACTGTATTTAGAATAAAATCAAAATTCCATATAAAGCCAACAATTCCCTGTAAATCCCAACACTTGCCTCTTTCTCCAATCTCATACAACTAGCCACTTTGTTCATTACACTCCAGACACGACTTTCTTTTAACAAAACAAGTTCCTTCCTCCTGTGAGTCTTCCCAAAGCTCTTCATAAAGGGTAGCTTTATTTCCTTTGGATGACAATTTATAAGTCACCCCACTTTGAGTCTCCCAGCCCAAGCTACTATCATAATCTACTATTACTACTATAATCTTTCTTTACTTGTATGTGCAATATCTCCCCCATCAAAATATAAGTTTTTATACCCAGAACATTACTTACACATATTCACATATACATACACACATAGTACTGAATAAATAAAACCTGAGTGCATTTACCTTGTCACGTCTCAAAATCCCAGTGAAATACAAATAAACACGGGTAAAAGGTAAAGGGAAAAAGGAAAATAAATTTGCAGTATTGGAAACAAGGAAAGAATTTCTGCAATAGAATTTCTGTAATCTGTCAAGCTGACAGATTAATTAGGAAACCAGAATAGAAAAAACTATAATCCAAAAGAGGAATAAGAAATGACTCCTTCAGATGGGAGAGCAGTTCTTCCCAAAGATCCTGTTAGGCCACAGGGGGATTCTCAGAATAACTATAGTTCTACTACAGAACTCTTAGGCCTCTGTATACAAAGCAATTGACATAAGAAAAGCTCTTAGGAATCAAGCAATGTTCAAGAGAACTTTAAATCTCTCCAACATAGAACAACCAAACAAAGGCAACTCCCTCATAAGAATGAAATACTGTATTCACATTCTGCCCCAGAATGAAGCCTTCCTTATTATGGCAATCTTGAAATTCAACAGCTTTTCTGGCTCACCTAATTTACATTTAAAAGCCTGCTAATAAGCCCCTCCCAATTATACACTAAAGAGATCTGTCATAAAATAAGACCTTTAAAACAATGTAGGGTATTAATTCAAGTTATGTGCACTGGCAAACCAAGTCTGTCATTTACAAGTATAAACAGTCAATTAAGAATTACCAGGTATTTGAGAAAAATAAAAAGCATTAGAGAAGCAGCAAGATAAAACAGGAGGAATAAAGGTAGTTCAAGAAACAGAAACAAAATCTTAGATTTGATTATAAAATGAAAATAAGATTCTTTTGCAGAAACAGAAAACTCTATCCTAAAATTTGAATGGAATCTAAAGGAACACCCAAGCAGCAAAAACAATATGGGGAGGGGGGAACCCACACAGTAGAAAGGCTCACATTTCTTGATTTTTTTAAACCTTCTCAGAAAGCTACAATAATAAAGTATGGTGCTGACATACAAACCAATAGAATAAACTATAGG